CCTCTTCCCACTTCACAACTAGAGACTTAACTCTTTTCTTTGTTTCCATGCTCAGTATCATCCTGATCCCCAGCTACGCTGCCATGCAGAGCTGTGCTTCCTGGACTGGATCTCTTCTTGGCAGCTGTACCCTGGGCAGGAATGCCGGGTCACTTGGTTCCTGTCCTGGAGCCCCTGTCCCAACTGTGCCTGGCATGTGGCTACCTTCCTGAAGAGTAACAGACATGTGCATTTGAATATCTTTGCCGCCCGAATCTATGACTACCAGGCAGGATATGAAGAAGGACTATGCTCACTATGGGATGCAGGGGCTCACATCAGCGTCATGACTTACGAAGGTCAGAGTGGAACAATGAGGAGAGGGCAGTAGCCTGGGAAAGGGAGCTGCTAGAAGGAAAAGGCAGGATTTGGAGTTCCACATGGAAAAGTATGTTCTCTGTGGGCCGAACAAGACTTGGGAGTCTAGTGGAAGAGAGAACTCAGGGTAGGAGATGTGGTTCAGAGGATGGGAGGGTGGTCAGAAGTGGAAGAAGAACTTGAAGATTTCCAGAAAGAACGTGATTTGGGTGGATCCAATTCCAATTAGAAGAAAGGATTTGGGTTTGGTTATTGCTGTTGTTGTTGTTGTTGTTAAGTGCCGTTGAATCAGTTCCAGCTCATAGCAACCCTATATAGGATTTCCCAGGCTCTAAATATTTGAGGGAGTAGAAAGCTTCATCTTTCTTCCATGGAACGGCTGATGGGCTCAAAGCACAGACCTTGTGGTTTGCAGTCCAATGCTTATCCTAGGTTTGGTGGAGGAGCTAAATCTTTATTGGCGGGACCAACATACAAATTCTGATGTAAAAGGCCTATCCCTAAGAATTGCACACCCTTGTTGCTCTTGAATGATTGGAGCCTGACTTTTCTTCCTTTCTCTTGTTTCAGACTTTGAGTACTGCTGGAGAGCCTTTGTGAACAACAATCTGAGACACTTTAGTCCCTGGTACAAGCTAGAAGAAAACCGTCAAATCATATCAGAAAGGCTTCAACGCATTCTCTGGGATAGGGTTTCTTCCTCTCACTGGAATTTCCCTTCCCCTCCATTCAGAGGCTCCTCTTGATTCCCTGCTTCCTCCAGAGGTGGCTAACACCTTCCTCTTAAAGTCTTTTTAAGTCAATATGCTTTTCTCCCTCCTGATCTTCCTTTAAAGAGCTCTGGTGTAGCTGTAGATTAAGAGTTGGGCTGCTAACTGCAACTGCAGCAGTTCAAACCCACCAGCCACTCAACAACAGAAAGAAAAGGCTGATCCTCTAATGTTTCATACCCTCAGAACCCTAAGGGACAGTTCTACTCTGTCCTATAGGCTTCTTTGAATCAGAATTGACTTGATGACAGTTAGGTTTGTTTTTTGGTACTTCCTTTCTCTTCTCTCTCATTTCACTGTCTCCCAGGTCCTTCTCTGCTTCTTCTTTCAGACTTCCCTACTTAGTTAAAAAAAAAATTCCTTATCTTCCTAGGTGGGTGGGGAATAGAAGAAATGAAAATAGACTTCAATATTTCTTTCAGTGGCCAGGGCCATAATTAATTAAGGAATTAAAATAAATAAATTGGGACATATTAATCGAGGAATTAAATAAATGAGACACGGGGGAACCTGCGCGTGAAGAATTCATTGTCTTTGCAAAGCAACAATGAAATACTTTCTTTTCTTTTTCTTTTTCTTTTTCTTTT